GATCGATCGTCAAAGTTTCTTTATTTGTCGGACGGACAACATGTGGTGGAACAAAACTGTGTACTCAAGGTCCCAGTTAGATCCAACAAACGTATAAAATGTAAAAGAAAAACTGTAATAAGAGCTAAGCTATGAACCAAGAAAAACATTAACTAATATATGCTAAGCACTAGTAGTACAAAAACAATATGCCATACAGCAGCAAGAACATGACTTTGTGCGAGCAGATGAGCACGAATGAACACAGCAGCATGAAATAAATCAGCAGCAACATGATGTGATTTTTTTCAGTTATTATTCTGGTTAGAGATTCATGAGTCTAACAGCCTCAGGGTAGAAGCTGTTCCTCAGTCTAGTGGTTCTAAACTTAATGCTCCTCAACCTCCTTCCTGAGGGGAGTGGGGCAAAAAGTGTGTGTGCTGGGTGAGTGTGGTCCTTCATGATGCAGGTGGCCCTCTTCCTGCATCTGGAGGTGTAGATGTCTGTGATGGTGGGGAGACTGACTCCAACATCTTCTGTGCAGCCTTCACCACTCTCTGCAAAGCTTTTCTTTCTGCAGCTGTGCAGCCTCCATGCCACACATTGATGCTCGAGCACAGGATGCTCTCCACTGCACACCTGTAGAAGGAGGTGAGGACTGAGCTTCCAGACCAGCTCGTCTCAGCCGCCTGAGGAAGTAGAGTCTCTGATGAGCTTTCTTCATCAGGCTGGTGGTGTTGTTGCTGCAGCTGAGGTTGTCATCCAGGTGCACACCGAAGTACTTGTAGCTGTAGACCACTTCCACCGCAGAACCTCCTATGTTTGGGGGGGTGTTATTCTGTCTGAAGTCCACGATCGTCTCCCTCGTCGTCTTCACATTGATGTGAAGGTTATTCTCCTTGCACCAGCTTTCCGGGTGTTCCACCTCCTGTCTGTAGCTGGACTCATCATTGTTTGTGATGCATCCCACCACCGCTGTATCATCTGCAAACTTTACAATGTGACAGCCTGGATCGGTAGTTGCACAGTCATACATGAGCAGAGTGAACAAGGGAGGGCTCAGCACACAACCTTGAGGAGAGCCTGTGCTGAGGGTTATGGTGGAGGAGGAGAAGTTGTGAATCCTCTCTGACTGTGGTCTTTTTGTTAAGAAGTCTAGTACCCAGTTGCAAATGGAGGCGCTTAGTCATAGTGTGAGTAGTTTGTCCATCAGGGTTTGGGGGATCATGGTGCTGAAGGCAGACGTGAAGTCCACAAAGAGCATACAGACGTAGGAGTTTTTCTGCTCCAGGTGGGTGAGAGCAGTGTGGACCACAAAGGAGATGGCGTCTTCTGTTGATCAATTCTCGCTGTATGCGTACTGTTGAGGGTCCTTGCTGATGTTGATGGTTGTTCTGATGTGGATCATGAACAGTCTTTCGAAGTGTTTAACGACTATCGGTGTGAGGGCTACTGGCCGATAGTCATTCAGACCAGTCACTGTGCAGCTCTTTGGGAATGGGATGATGGTAGCAGTCTTCAGGCAGGTGGAACTATTGCCAAGGTGAGTGAAGAGTTAAAGATGTCTGCCACCTCCTCGGCACAGTCTTTCAGCACCTTCCCGAGGATGTTGTCTGGGCCAGTTGCTTTGTGAGGATTAATCTTCCTGAAAGTACTCCTCACTTCGGCAGAGGTCACGCTGAAAAACTCTTTTTCCGGTGGTGAGATGAGTCTGGTGCTGGGTCGTCTGTTCGGGTCTTCAAAACATGCATAGAACCTGTTGAGGGCATCAGGCAGTGATTAGTCTCTAGGGCATTGTGCACCTCTTCCTTTATAATCTGTTATACACTTAATGCCCCTCCACGTGCTCTGTGGGTCTTGTGAGGTGAGTTGACCCTGGATCCTCTGTGCATATGTGGCTTTGGCCCTTTTAATACCAGCAATCATCTCTTTCCTTGTCCTTCTCAGTTCCTGTGAGTTGCCAGACCTGAAGGCAGTGCCCCTGGCTTTCAGCAGGGTGTGACCAAGTAGTATAGCTAGATAGATGGATGGATGGACGTATGCACTCATGCATGTGTGTATATCCCCAAGGGGAGATTTGTCTTGGACATTATGCACTAAACAAAGATTATTCCACAATTAAATACATTGCAAACAATAAAATCATGTAAACACCACAATAAAAAACTATTGCTCAATAAAAAAACACATTGCTCAATAAAAACACATATTGCACATTCCCACATACATTCCAGCAAATAAACAAAATGACATATCAGACCAGAGCATCAGGACCATGACAAAAGACTATATGCCTAGTTTATTTAACAATCTGACACATTAATTTTTAAATATGTTAAGTCTACTAGCAGGGATTCTAAATCATTTGCCAGATGGTATCAGTGCGTATTGTGAAATTGAGGATGTGAGCGGGGTCAGACAGTACCCTCCGAGCAAGACTGAGGACAGACTCATCATAGATAGACTGCAGGGAGGGGTTGTAGCTGCAAATTGTATTAAAAAATAGAATTATTTGAAGTCAGCTTTTTTTTTTTATATGGTTGACATGACATGTTGAAAAGCATAAAGGAAGTGCTCGTCAAACATTCGCCACAAAATGGAAAGTCACTATATCTCCTGTCTGGAAGGTCGGATTTTGCCTATACTTGTAAGACCTGAAGCTGGACAAGTACTGACATGGACGGAAGGTGATGTTGAACATTTCGGAAATGTGCCCCGTGGTAAACGCGTTGCTTGATTGGCACGAGAGCGTTGGCAATGGTGACTGGGTGGACTAGCTGGAGCTGCCGCGGTCGCCATAAGGCCGGAGCGGCGCTTTGCTGCGAGGGCCTCCAATGCTCCTTGCAGCTTTAATTACAAGTATCACTTAGCCCTCTGTGAATAGCAAGCAGCCATCAGGGCACTAACGACCAATTGTCAGGCTGATGGTCCTCCTTTATCATGTGAACAGCTAGTTCTGGCTGTCACCAACAAACTGTTGATCCGCTATGAGAAAGTGCTATTTATACAACTGAGTTTGTTTCAGCTCCTCAGACTGAAGGTCTTTTAGATAAAAGATGAAATGTTTCAACAAGAAGAATCCGTCCAGAGGACCTGACTCAACCCTGTTAGATTTATCTAAATGGATGAGTGAGCGTGCATCAGGATATATTTACTGTAATAATTGTTAAATCCTCCTTGAATCGCCACCTTATCGTGGTGAAGGAGTTTGTGCACCTGAATGATTCTAGGAGCTATGCTGTCGGGAATTGCCCCTGGTAGGGTCTCCCAAGGTAGATTGGTCCTAGGTGGCAGGCCAGACAGAAAGTGATTCACAAGACTTATATGGACAGAAAAAAAACAAGAAACTCAGTGTCCCTTGCCCGGACGTGGGTTACCAGGGCCCCACCCTGGAGCCAGGCCTGGGGGAGGGGCTCGTTGGCCAGTGCCTGGTGACCGTATCTCTATCCATGGGGCCCAGTCGGACTCATGGAACATAACCTCTCTGGTGGGGAAGGAGCCTGAGCTTGTGCGCAAGATTGAGAGTTACCAACTAGATATAGTTGGGCTCACCTCGACGCACACCATGGGCTCTGGAACCAATCTCCTTGAGAGGGGCTGGACCTTATTCCACTCTCGAGTTGCCCATGGTAAGAGGTATCGAGCTGGTGTGGGTCTACTTGTAGCCCCCCGACTTGGTGCCTGTGTGTTGGATTTTTCCTCGGTAGATGGTAAGGTGGCTTCCCTTCACCTTCGGATGGGGGGACGGGCTCTGACTGTTGTTTGTGCCTACATACTAAACGGTAGTTCAGAGTATCCGGCCTTCTTGGAGTCCTTGGCAGGAGTGCTGGAAGGTGTACCATCTAAGGACTCCTTTATTCTGCTGGGGGACTTCACGTGCTCACGTGGGTAACGACAGTGTGACCTGGGGAGGCATGATTTGGAGGAATGGCCTCTGATCTGAACCTGAGCAGTGTTCTGTTATTGGACTTCTATGCTAGT